AAGAATATGAATGTATTGTGTATGTACTATAATGGTATCCCTTTAAGGTAATCAAACTGTCGAATGCCATAAATGAATCCTCAAATAGGTCTTGCCTGTGGTCTCATCACTTCCCAGATATGGTGAAGCAATTAAACAGTTAACGCTAGGTTCCAAACCTTTAGATCTTTTCTTTTCGTTTCAAAGGTACTGCATTTGATCTGACACTCCTAGGGATATTAGTGTCCCAGTTTAGGAACCAGTTGGTAAAATTGTATAACATTGGTCATATTTTCAAAGTAGAACAACAGGTTACTGGTCAGTCGATTTATATTGGTCAATCGGCCATTCTTCTGACCAAGTTTTATAAACCTACTAAAATATATGTTATGTCATGGGAACTTACCCTCTAAAACTTTCAACCCAGGCCCTCGGCAATTTGATGTCTCTGTAAATTGAAAAATAAGATTTGAAAAACTTGTGTAACCCGTTCTACAAGTTTTATAGATCTTGTGATTTGGTAATGACAAAGGTAATACAGGATGGTTGAAGAACGTCTGATTGATATCATGCACTCCGGAAACCTTTTCAATATGAAAATAATCAGTTTATTGAAAACATAAACGCAGAATATTATGAACATTATAGGAAAGCGTTGACAATCCCTGCCCCAAAGTCGAAATGTGTCGATAAGCAATATTGTAGATTATTATGAAATTTATGGATTTATTCACATCATTGATACTTACACTTCTCGAAGTTTATCTGACTTGGCACCACCTGCTCCACCAGCAGCCGCACCAGCACCAGCCGCAGCCGCCGACTTCTTCCTAAAAAATTAACGGCCACAGACTGTGAATTGGAGGTTTTATGTCTTACCTTTCTGCTAGCCATTGTAGGACAGAAAATAATATAATTAAATGTTATGGTGATATATAATCTTTTAATTTTCGAGATAATGTTTGAATATCTTATTCTTATTGTTCAACTGAATCAACGGGGTATCGTTAAACAAAATATCTTACCACCAATTCAGTCTTAAGTATGGTACGTCTTAATGTAAATTTCCTCACGACAAATTCGATTGTTTTTTGTGAAATAAGGCCTGGATTTCTGAACATATATTTACATATAATATATTATGTGCTCCGCGCCTCTACATGTCGTTCAAATCTTACATAAATATACAGTTTGTATCTTACCCACAGCAGCCGGCTAGACATGGACACAGTTTGAGACACAATCCTGCTGGACAGAGGCAGCAGAGTATACAAAGCAGTAGAGGTAGGAGTGCAGCTAGTCCAATTAACCCAGCGGCTAAAGCTGCCGTATCATCACCACTTAGACCAGTAACAGCGGCGCCTCCGATAGGTATATCTCTTATACCATCTACCTTACCTACAATACAATAATAAAACCATTATACATAAGTCATAAACTGTTATTTTAAGTCAAATCTCACTGACAACGATGAGAACAGGTAAAAGCTAATACAGGACGCATCAGTACTTTGGTTTTGGTGTTCAGAGGGATGCGAGCTCGTTGCTCAGTGATAATTGAACGTAAAACATAGAGATAACAGGAAGCGAATAGGACAGGACAGGTTTTTCTTTTTTCTGTATTATGGAAAGGGACTAAATGGAGAATATTTTGTATTCTCTCCGAGTCAATCGTTCTATTATCATAATCTTGCACAGAAACGCCGACATTTAGTGACATTTCTTTTTTGTCTTAGGCCTAGTTCATATGTCGATATGTCGATCTTCTGGCGTGTCGAATAAAAAGGATATTTATGTCGACACAAATCATTCAGATCCTCAGTTGATTCAAATAGAACATGTCTGTAGTGCCGTATTAAACAACAAACAATACAAACACTGGGGTTTTGAATGGCTGTCTGAATATTCGAAGGGAGAGAAAGATTTGATATAATATACTTGCTGTCGCACTATTAGACCAGAGTTATTCTTGTTTGACCTTTTTATGATATTTTTTTACCATAGTCCAATTCTAATGACCTTTTTTTTAAACCAATTTTCCAATTTTGAATAAAGACAAAAACTCAATAAAATTTAATATATTTATGATGGGGTTACCCCTTTTTTGAGAAATTCTGTTTCAGTTTTAAAAAGGGAAACAGCTATCAAGAAAACTTTAAGATTGGTAAAGGGACCTTTGAATTACAGACTACTACATAAGTGTCATTGTATTCAATCATTTATAATCCTATACAATCTCAACGATTTTCAATCAATTGGCAGCTCTATTCTCTATATTTTTAGCCAATGTGCTGGTTTGAGATAAAATGGAGTAAAACCAAGAAATTAGGGGAATCCCTTATTATCATATAATTGTAATATCATTAGCATAATATATTAGTAAAACTCGAAGGACGAAAATTTCGACGTTTGAAACCATGCCGCGCTTACGTCGTTCAACTCGATACAAGATGACGAAAAGAATGACAGGTCGACACAAATTATTAATCACGGCAAATGGATTCAAACGTTGAACTTTTCATGTGCCAAATTTTCATATTAAATTCGGCACATCAGAAGATCGATGTATGAACTAGGCTTTACTTTACAATAAGGAAATATCTCATATTCAATTGCTCATGAACATGGGTAACATGGTGAAGTGTGATATTATATAAGTTAAAATTGAACCTACCCCAAGCCGAGTTAGCACAATAACAATAAGGATCTATATTCCAGTATTCACCTGTCAAATAAAATATATTTATTATACACTACTAGTTTTATTGTAGCCGTTAATATTTGTTTTTCAATCAATAATTTCATCTTAAAGGAGCACCTTCACTATCTGTTCAACCAAGCATACCTTACTTTTAGAAACAGGAATTATTCACGTTTGAAAGTTAAAAATTCGACTCGAATTTTAGTGAGACTATTATGTCATACATAGAAATATAGAAATAGACAGTGAAATTTCTAGTTTGAGGTATATTTGAAGAGATTATATGATTTTCGTGCGTTTTAGTATTTGTTAAGACTATTAAAGCACAATAAAGACCCAAATCAATTCCCAAACATACCGACTGTTCCCCTGTAATAAAGTTTCAAGTATGTAGTAATTCCGAAAGGCTTTTTTTTAAATTTCAAATTCTTATTCTGTCAAGAGGCACCAACGCCATATTTAAATAATTGGTCAGCCATCATATGAATTTAATTTTTGATTCAGATTCTAAACTTTTTGGCACAGTAAACTTCAATTTGCAATATTTGTTGATAAATGTTCAATAACAAATAATTACATGTCAATAATTAGTCTCGAACTACTAATAGTAAATAAAAATATAATCAACTATTGGTTACAGAATAAAGTTAAATATTCTTAATCTTACCTTTCATATTGACAATTAGAATTCACAAAATCCGAAAATTAATTTTTAATCCAACAGTACAATCGGTAGTGGACTTGGTCACGTCTGTCTCGAAATGCGTCTGAATTCAACTGAATTTGAATTAAACCAAATCCAGGACAAATTTCACCTGGTATTAATATTTAGAATATATTAATCACTTCTAATTATCTTGTTTTAATTCTACTGCAGGTAAAAACACGGCAAACAAGTTTATAGAACATCAAAAACCTTTCAGAGGTGTATTCAATTACTGGATCTCACACCGCCCAACACAACAAATTGTAGAGTTGTACTCTTGAATATATCATAACTTGTAGTACATTTATTCGTGAAAAGCTATCCATAAATGTGTTCATGTACGGAAATCGAGCACACCAATATGAATAAAGTCATCGCGCGAACCTTATGTATTTGTCAGTCAAGTTCAACCCCTAAATGGTCGCCCACGGCATCCAGCTGTCAAATTAACTCTCGAGATAAATTTGTTAGTTTGTGTAAAACATGGTCAATTCTTGTTCAACAAGTTGATTATTAATTAGTGAAGAGAATATTTAGATGTACATATATAGAAATAGAATTAAGCAGTATTTAAACAGTAAAAATATTTTGAATGGTTTGACTATTATAAAGTTAAATAATACAGATCAATCGAGGCTAAACTGTTGTTTGTAGTTATTATTATTTACCGTATACTAATATCGTATCTGTATTTGTGTTCTCTGTATATTAATTTTTAGAGTTATATTTCAATATATTATGTTACTGTCCCATGTTTGAAACGATGTTATATTATGGTGGAAAGCAACCCGATAAGAAGTTTTCGACTTCATTAAGATAAATATTGCATGTATAAATGATAATAATACGTGTTCAAAAATGGACAGATTCAAAAGTCGTTAAATGGAAACTGTAGGCCATAGTATTAGCGTCCCCTTCCGCGAGTTGTTTTTATTTCAGACAGAGGATTGTTCGATTTGATAGTTTGGGTTTTAATAAAATGAAACTGTTTTTATATTTTTCTCTGTCAAATCAGAATGTCTTTCAGAGAGAAAGTATATTCAATATTATTTTTAATTTTTAATGTAACATTTAATTACATGTGATAATTTAAATAAGGACACCTGTGAGAGTGACACTACTGACCTCTAGTGGACAATGTTTCCGGATGTACAATATAATTCTTACACTGTTAAATACCACAGGATCAGGTCAAGTGTAAGGGTTAATGTAATGTGTAATTGTATCATTTTATTATCATCTCATTGGTCATCTTGCTTTAGTTGAAAAGTTGAAATGAATCTATATTTAATAACTATTGTTAAACCGTTATGTAGCCATGTATTAAAGAAGTGTGTTTTATCTCATAATAATTGTCTTGTGTTTTATATGTGCTCCTCGTTTATAAATGTCGTTTAAATCTTATAATAACAGCAGACCAAAAGCATGTTTCAAAATACCTGCTGGAATATTATGTTGTGTCAGATTGGTAGTAGGTTTTGTAGAATCCCAGAAACCACATCTGCCCTGATGGAACTGTTTATAACCGCTTTGGAAATCACTTTTCATAACGTTTAAATAAACGTAAGAGCATATGATAGATATAGTATATATTTATTGATTGATGTGGTTCATTACTAAAAATAGATACATCTCCTACTATTATATTTTAAATGTGGCTAATAAACAAAACATAAAATTAACATAACAAATTCATGCCAACAATGATTCTGTTTGTAGTTAGGTAAAAAGTCAAAAATGATGCCAAAAATGTTTTTCTTTTTGAACGTAGGGCTAGAAGACGTCCAGGATTATTAGAGTTCGTCTCGATTAGACAGGAGTTGCCCGGCTGCATCTCTAGGTTCATCTCCAAGTTTCAATTTCTGATCTATTGTACCAAACACATCCTCCATTGACAGTAATTCATCCCGTAATGCCAGGTTCTTTTCTTCATTTTCATAAAGTAACTCGTCCATGGTGCACAACCCGTCCTGGTCGTGATCAATATAGCTTATAATATTATCACCAATAACCTTCAGACTGTCTATCTCTTTCTTAAGGAAATCGTAGCCATCATAGTGAATAATATCAGGAATAATCAAATTTATGATCTCCTTAGCCGTCATTGTATTGTCCGGCGCATTTCTGAGTTCTGATGTTACTTGTTGCAAGAACGCTGACACAATATGGTCTTCACGTATTTGTAAATTTTCCAATGTGTAAGATTCATCGTACGTTTTGTTACAAGTGTCCAAATCAAAATCAGCGATACCTTGCCACCATATATTGGTAGCGATGTTGCTATTGAAAGATCGTACTTGATGAATCCAACCATAAGGTATATACAGACAATCACCAGCATCAATATGAGCGTGAATATATTCTACCTTCGCTAAACCAGGGTATTTCCTCATATCCACTGAATCAACATCAACTGACGAATATCCACCCTCTAATCTGTCGATATGAGATAAATGTTGATATTTGTGTGGATTGACCAAGACAAAGTGTTTAGATCCTCTGTAAACACAATTCAGATTATGATAAGAGTCCACATGAACCACTGAACTCGTTCCGCCACCACTGAACCACATAATAGCCGTATCTATCATCTTGTTGACCATATCGCCACATTGAAGACAGTGCTGTAGCCTTAAATCTTTCCTTAAGAAGTTGGGGACCGATCCAATCATGTATAACTGCGACTTCCGGTGTGTCGTTACGAAAACTTTAAAATTGACCGCCTTCGTAGGTATTCCTCGGATTTCTTTCTTGTGGTATTCCACTTCAACTTGGGTGTTTGGAGGTATGTCCAGTTTCAGGAAGTATTTATCTGTCCATTTGGTGAAAGCCGGGTGATCTACAACTGCTTTCTTCATTTTGATTGGTTTATCCGGGTGAACATATTCCTTGTAGAAGGTTACCGGATCTGGAACTTCCGTTATTTCATCTATATCAACTCCCTGTCCGGCACCGAATGGCTTCAGATGACCGGGATGTTCCGAAAAATCACCAAGATCTTCATAATTTATAAACTCTGATCCCGAAACTTGGTGTAATGTCCAAACAAGACAGAGATACAAATATAATATATGGTACATGAGATCCATTCTTGTCTTCGATCAATGTTAAATACAACTGAGATCAATGTTAAATACAACTGAGATCTACTAAATCATTCCGGATATACTGCCTTTTTAACAGCTGTTGTTTATGATGTACGAGAGAATTCTCACACATCTCGTCTATATCCACTTGTATCGTGTAGTGGTTACAGAAAAATTAAATCAATACATTAATCATTAGTTAAAATCAAAAATAGGATCCAAAGAGATTAAAACAATAATCAACGTACACTGCAGGCTAAAGAAAATAAAATATCAAAATGTTGGTTTATGGTCTGAGAAATGTTCGGAAAGCACATGATCAACACCTCCGAAACTGTGTCTGTGTGGTATTTGAAGAACAAAACACAAGATCTTGCGTCATGAGGCGACACTGGCTGGTGAAATGAAATGAAAGCCTTGGTGTAATAATCTAAAAAAGAAAATTAAGAAAAAATGAAATCATACTCCAAATGATCCCCCCCCCCCACCGCAATTATTTTTTATTCTTTTCCAATTACCTGATCTATTGTATTGTGTGTCATTTATTGATTAAATTCAAAAGTGACAAACAGATGATACACTATAACTGACAAAACTCCTATTGCTTTTCACACGAAATCTACATCCTAAAAATCTGTTGACGTTACAAAATATCACAGGTAGAGAGATCCTGGTATTAGGAACAGATGGTAACTTCCGTTGGGTTCAGAATCAAGTGAATATGGATGTCCAGACTCTAACGAATGTTTTATTTACCCTGATTTCTTCGTTATTTTCTTGTGTAACTCTGTATGAAGGCTCGGATACTAATCACTATTTGGCACAAGAATATGGACATTTAAAACCGTTTGGAAGTGGTCGACCAATACATAATGTGGAAACGATAGCGGAATTTCCAGATCCAATTACGTTTAACACTGAGTACTTCACCCAACAAAAACCAGTTTTAATCCAAGGAGGCGCTAAAATTTCTCCAGCGTTTGACTTATGGACAGATGATTATTTCCTGAAGCAAGACCTGCAGAAACCTGTCAACATCAGTGTCGAGACGTTAAAAAAAGAAGTGAGGGGACAGAACATGCTTGAAATGGATTTTAAAGAATTTGTGAAGATTTATCCTAATTCGACTTACTATATGGTAGACCTTGTTCCAGAGTTCATCCAGAAGGATCTGGTTCTACCTTTCTCGTTACAGTGTCCGGATTTAATGGGAGGTGGTATTGATGAGGTGATTATGTGGTTAAGTGGCGGAGGAACCAGCTCAGTAGTACATAGTGATCCTTCAGACAACCTGAATTGCGTCTACCGAGGTACCAAAGATTTTATCATTGTCGATCCTCTCAAATATGGCGAGTTAGTTCCCTTCGATAGCGAAGATCAGTCGCATTCGTTACTGGACGTTGATAAAGCAGATTATGTGAAATATCCTGGATTGGCCAAAGTTGAGTTTATCCATGCTCACCTGGAACCCGGTGACTGTCTATACATACCTGCCAGTTGGATCCACCAAGTGAGATCGTATAACATCAATCTGGCGGTAAATATCTGGTGGAGCAACCTGTTTACCCAATATATAGATACGGACACCTGTTTGAAACAGTTCGACCAAACCATAACTCTCGATAAACTGGAATTCGCTGGGATAGGAAAACCTTTGCTGATACGATATTGGTTACTTCCTAAACTGAGCAGTCGATCTTCCAAATCCATCAGCGAGTCTGAAATGATTGACTCTCTTAACTCTGAGTTTCTATTTGGGTTGAGATTACAACAGAAGAGACTTGGTGCTATAGAGGACATGTACAAGAAGTTGTTTAAGAAGCTAGACGAGAATAACGACGGTCTGGTGACAATCAAAGAGTTTATGAAGATCCCACCGAAACAATTAGAACGTTATGATGTTATACTTCATTACACAGATAAACTCCGCGCTTCATTGGACCCTAAAGTTTTGGCTGACGAATATTGGAAAATAACACATTATGAATTTTAAAATAGAGTTGTTGAGAATTTAGTTATCTTATATATATGTTTGTATTTCCTGTTAATCAAGCATAAATCTCATAATTGATAAATGAATTTAAATTTCTATGTAACTGTCCGTAGAAACCAGGACAGTTTAGCTGTTGACTGTTATGTGTTGTTTTTAAATGAATGATTTTATTGAATTATTACAGCTATCTTTCTATTTCTTTTTATGGTATAATTTCAGTCCATTTATTTGCTGTGAAATCATTGTATTGGAATTGGGAAAGGTTTCGTAAACCTGAAGTGATCATGTCTTGATTGTATATAATAGGTTATACTAAGAAATATAATAATTGTCGAAAGCCCCATTCCATTGTTGTGGAAGTTTAGAGTGGCATCACTCCTAGAGCGTTATTCATACCCAAAGTGTATTATTAACGGTCATCGGTCATGGCAAAAAGGCTGAAAACGTCGTTAACTGTGGTGTTATGGACCTATATATCTCTAAGTGCTGTTAAATTCATATTTTGTTAGATAAATAAAATAGAGGAAAAATGGTACTTATTATAATCTAATGATTAATTCATCAAGATTATCTGAAAGTAAGCCCAAATAAAGTGAATTTTAACCAAACATAAATCTAGTACGAAACTTATACATCCAAATAACATCTTCCGAACACAACAATAACGTTTGTAGGAATTATACAGGAGACATGAGAGTATTCCATTGGTTATCATTAAAGGCAACTTACATCGATGATATTCTTCGTCCGCCAATCTTACCATTTCTCAAACAACATTACATGGTGTCTTTTAAGGGAAGCTGAGAAGACGAACCCAATCGGACCAGAGTCAGCAATATACAGCTTGTGGACTTTTGAAGTGAAAGAATTTGAAATGGTCCCCCTATCAGTCTCCTATCAAGTTTTACGTTATAATTTTTTGATATAATCTCAAATCTGATATTTAAGTCGGTATTGACTTGAATGTTACAGTGCTAGAATATAATTTATTGACCCACGTGATAAAACAACAACAACATGATTATTCTGTGAATGATAACATAATACAGGATAGAAATAACATGTTCTACAGATTCACAGAAAAACACATTTTATTCAATTTTAGAAATATATGTATCTACCAAGTACTTGGCTAGCACAATGTTACAATAAAGTGAAGTATTATTGTGTTATTCAATTTGACATTAATACTACATTCATAATCAGACAAAATGAAATCAGGTTTTATATCACATTGTTACCAAGAAAAGTGCAGTATAGAATAATTAATCCTTACTTCTATAGAAGAGGTAAATATAGACGTTATCCAGATAGGAAGGACATTAAATTTCCTTCAACTTCTCCTGTTAATAAATAATGACAACTATTCGGTTATTTCACAGCGTTTTCACGGTTAGATAGTAATAATACCTAGCCTAGTGTTATTCACAGATACACCTGTAAAGAGTGATCAACTAGTGTAGAGCACAAATTGTTTCTTCTCTTCCTTTTCCCGTTACTTTCACAGCTGTTTTCGATGTATCAATCCACCTCGATAACACGTCAGCATGCCTTCTGACCACATAAAATCAAGCAAGAACCTTAAAGCATGACCCACAAACAAGATTATAGAATGTCTTTCATTCATAAGCCATGTAATAACTATTGTTGTTTTTGTGTCGAAATCGCCAGGTCAGTCTCTTCCAGAAATTGTTTTCCTTTTGTAACGGTGAAGGTGGTCCGTCGTAATATTCCCCTCCACCATGTATAGGAGCACTATCACCTGAGAAGTCCGAATAGCCGTGACGGGCTTCTAGAAAACTTTCATACGATTGTTCCTTACCCAGGGGGTTGATAAAGTTATCAACGTCCCCACCGTCACTACTGGACGATATCTTACGAGACAGATTCACGTGCTCTGAATCTTTGACGATTGTCTTCGAATCTGCGAATGAAAAATCACGAATTTGAGAGTGCCTTTTCGCAGTGTTTGTTTTTGATTTCGACGTACCGAACAAACTTTTGACTTTGCTTTCGCGTTTCTGATACCGAGAAGGTCGTTTGATTTCAGTTTTGCTCTTTTTCTCAAAAGCTGGAATAGACGATCTGGGTTGAGGTTTCTCTGAGCGCCACGTTAATCCGCCATGGTTCGAATCGTCATCCTCGTCAAGAAACTTTGAGAAGTCCTCGCCACCGTAGTGTCTATGAAGCGGTTTACTGAGGTCGACTCGTTCATGTATCTCGGCGTAAATAGTTTCATCGTGATAATCCGGGGGAGGGATGACAACACCATTTATCATTTCAGACTTCTCTACCCTAGCAGCCTCCTGTTTATTGAACACCGGATTGGAAGTCTCCCTGGTTCTCTGTGGGCGATCCTTTTCCTGGTAATCCGCTGGAATATCCTCCTCTTGAGAAATCGGATGTAAAATAATCGGTACGTCTTTATCGCCGATGATATACGGCTGGGACGTTGTGAAGCTGGTAACAGGATCCTCACGGGGAATGAGCACGTTGACCATTGGATCTTCAGTAAGAATCTTAGGAGTGTATTGATAGAATTTCGGTGGCTCTTTAACATTTTTTGTGTTTTTTACTTTCGTTTTCTTGTCTTTTTTATTATCGTCTTTGGTTACAAATAACTCACGAACGTGAGGACCTCTGTGAAAAGCCATTTTGATGTTCAGGACGGTCTATTCACTCATTTGCTATCCTGAAAATAGAAAAATACCGCATATTATTGAGCGTAAATTTGGCAATATACTGCAGAAGAGTAACATGGGTACAATATCTGGGATCCAGGGGATCTATCTCAGCAGAACAATATCTCAAGAAAATATCTTCCCACTTTACAACTAGGTTTTTTCTCAATAAACCAAGATAACTGACACGATCAAAATTTCACATGTAAACTTGGTAAACTTATCCTCGTCCTTGTCGACGCTAGCATCGTTTTTCTTGTATTAAACAGAATGAATTATTATTGGCTAAATCACATAATTAAAGCGTTCTGTCATTATAAAAATGTCCAAGATAATAGTTATAAGCACGACAAGTTCAATCTGAATTAGACCAAGTCTTTTACAACCAGTAACCCAAATAAGAAATCGGTGAAAATATAGGTTGCAATTATCATCCAACAATTATTCCAGATCAGTGACTATATTAAACAGTACAGTTGGGGTGTATCGCTTTTTGTTCTGACTTATATCATAACAGTTTATGACTAGAATGTTCAACCTTATCATACTAAATCACCCAGATACAGCTTGAGCTATCTACAGTACTGCTCTAAAGTTTTACCTAATCATACTAAATCACCCAGATACAGCTTGAGCTATCTACAGTACTGCTCTAATGTTTAACCTAATCATACTAAATCACCCAGATACAGCTGAGCTATCTACAGTACTGCTCTAATGTTTTACCTAATCATACTAAATCACCCAGATACAGCTTGAGCTATCTACAGTACTGCTCTAATGTTTTAACTAATCATACTAAATCACCCAGATACAACTTGAGCTATCTACAGTACTGCTCTAAAGTTTTACCTAATCATACTAAATCACCCAGATACAGCTTGAGCTATCTACAGTACTGCTCTAATGTTTTACCTAATCATACTAAATCACCCAGATACAGCTTGAGCTATCTACAGTACTGCTCTAATGTTTAACCTAATCATACTAAATCACCCAGATACAGCTTGAGCTATCTACAGTACTGCTCTAATGTATTACCTAATCATACTAAATCACCCAGATACAGCTTGAGCTATCTACAGTACTGCTCTAATGTTTTACCTAATCACACTAAATCACCCAGATACAGCTTGAGCTATCTACAGTACTGCTCTAATGTTTTACCTAATCATACTAAATCACCCAGATACAGCTTGAGCTATCTACAGTACTGCTCTAATGTTTTACCTAATCATACTAAATCACCCAGATACAGCTTGAGCTATCTACAGTACTGCTCTAATGTTTTACCTAATCACACTAAATCACCCAGATACAGCTTGAGCTATCTACAGTACTGCTCTAATGTTTTAACTAATCATACTAAATCACCCAGATACAGCTTGAGCTATCTGCAGTACTGCTCTAATGTTTTACCTAATCACACTAAATCACCCAGATACAGCTTGAGCTATCTACAGTACTGCTCTAAAGTTTTACCTAATCATACTAAATCACCCAGATACAGCTTGAGCTATCTACAGTACTGCTCTAAAGTTTTACCTAATCATACTAAATCACCCAGATACAACTTGAGCTATCTACAGTACTGCTCTAAAGTTTTACCTAATCATACTAAATCACCCAGATACAGCTTGAGCTATCTACAGTACTGCTCTAATGTTTTACCTAATCATACTAAATCACCCAGATACAGCTTGAGCTATCTACAGTACTGCTCTAAAGTTTTACCTAATCATACTAAATCACCCAGATACAGCTTGAGCTATCTACAGTACTGCTCTAATGTTTTACCTAATCA